GCTGATTAGATTGAGAAAGAAACAAATTTGGTTCAACTTATTCATAACATACCAAGTGAAGTAAGACCACGGTATTCAATTTATGGACAAAATCACATCCAACTTTAACACAACTTACACAATTTTCCCTAAAGCATCTTAAGGACTTGATACACAGCTTCTTTCCCATCCTGTCCAGAATTGGTGTCTGTAGTTTTAATTTCCATGTGCTGCATTCCTACAAGATAAATTAAACTAATAATGATTTTGGCTGTAAGTTTTAACTAGGTCACTAATATACACAATCCCAAAATAATCAATTTCAGTTTTTATGCTCAGAAAAGGAGAAGTAGTGTAGAGTGTCTTAGACATATGAGCAAGGAGGTGCAATCACAACAAAACCCGACATATTCTGTTAATAGTGCTTTATTTACATTTAACCTATATGTACATGTATACATGCCAACCGGTTTCATCAGGGGTAGGCCGACTTCATCAGGGCAGTTGCAATAATTTTGTCATTTCCTAAGGTACTTTCATGCAGGTACAAACAATTCTGTTCTTAGCCGATTGTTGATGTCACGACATCAATTGATATTCATAGTTTTAACACTGTATCAAACTATGCAATGATTCAGTAGACCAACCAGGTAACAATGACTTCAGATCTGAGCTTGTGGAGTGACATACAACACAAATGTGCCAACTGGGGAGGAGGAAGGTGAACAAAGCAAAAGGTGCTAACTCAATTAAAATCTCTACAATAATTATTCAAATATATTCTTTTTTTAGAAGTTAGGAAAACATTCCTTAATTTTAACAACTTTTCCAAATTAATGTCAGTTTGACTTCTAACAAGGACTTTGATACAGACTAATAGACAATTGCCAAGAATCTCTAGGCATGTACTGTATTTCTTTAATGTTTGCACAGCAAAGCATGACATTGTGCAGCCCACAGTTGAGCTCCAATTTACCTGTATTGTACCTATATACCATTTGTACATCAGTATCTGGAGTAGGGACATGTTTATATAAACAAGCAGCATTTTCAATATTCAATAAATTAAATGCATACATCTTCATAACATTTTCACTTTTTCAAGTTGTCATTTTCTGTGAGTTTTCACATGAGACACATTATTGGTGCTACTGAACAGACTTGTGTATTAAAAGATAAATGAACTGATTGTTTCAGGTTAACTAATTTTACAGTGAACTTGAAACAAAACAATCTCTAGTGACTTTTTAAGGAGCTTTTGAAATGATATACATGATGGACTCCAGGATGTGATGGATGGAAATGCCTGCGTTCTAATTTTCAATTTTCCTTGAAAAGATTTGATGCATCAAATGCATTAAAACATTGTGAAAATATATGTTTTCAATCATTATTACTACCTTACTAACAACAAATCAGTGTTTCAGTAAGTGATACTTTTGTTGGATATTGTTTTGAGTATATAGCATGGAGTTGTGCTAGTCAACGTGTTGGAAACTTTTAAAGACTTAATAGCAGGTTTTTCTGCTTTTGTCTTCATGAAAGATATAAGATGTTTGAACCAAACTAAAGAATACTGTTTACTCAAGAAGTGGAATTGATATTATGAATTGACATCCATCATATATGCACTAGAATTTGAAATCAATGACACAATACTTTTCTACATCAGCCCCTTTTCTTGATTCTTTCCTTCATCAAAACCAACTTGAACAGCTTTCAACCAAGCTGTATGATAAGTATGATGATCTCAAATTTTTTCCTATTTTGAACATTCCATTTCTGGATAGCAACAATCCTGCATCCCCAACCTATGGTGTTAACATGTCGCAATTGATTCAATATTCAACGACCTGTTCTCATTATCACATTTTTTTCTCTTTTTTTTTTTGCATGAAGTCATCGTCCAATGGACAAAGTCACAACACTGGCTTTCAAAAGATGCAGGTTGGTGAGAATTATGAAGAAGGTTTACAGCCATCACTGTGATCTCATTGAGAAATATTCAATTATTTCCCTTAATGATGTCACTTTAAGTAAAATTTATAGTCCTTTATGGTACACATTATATACCTCATATGTAAATTAAGCTTGTTATCCTACATATTGACATTATCATCGTATAATTTACTATAAATGCACAGTTACTTTTCTGCGAGACCAATAAAAATACAGTTGTTTACTTCATTTGCCTTTATTGCAATTAAGTGCATGTGATAGACCCTAACATGAGATTAAGACTTGACGACACTTCTCAACCACCATCATTATCGTTTTCTGAAAAACTTTGAATTTTTGTTCAAATTAAGTTGGGATGTCGAAGGACATTGGTTATTTGTGTGGTTATGTGGTTTTGTGTCGTTCCGAATCCACCTGAAGTCTATATATTGAATGTAGACCAATCTTTATCGTTATGCATTTATAGAAAAAACGACTGCAACCGTCAAACATTCTTATAACTTACTTATCGTATGTATCTGCATCTTTCATTGGCTGGTGACGCAGTTCAAGCACTCATCGGTCGCCATTTTTTTGTGTGACGTCACTTTTCTGCAGGCACGAACTATTGCCATTTGCGCGTAATATTTACATCTTTACGAATGAGTTATGGATGCGTTTTATTTTCTTTGTGATAGAATTGAAATTACTGAAGATATCTTCATTTTGCCATTTCAAATTGTATTTCTATTTGATTTTATTGATTGTGTTTGTACATTCCCTCTAAAATACTTATTTTTTTGAAGTTACTGGGCCAGAGACTTTGGAACCAAAGTTGAGCGTTTATGAATATCCCCTGTGTCGAGATTATATCACATAAGTTACATTACTGTAATGAAATGATTAATAACGTCAGACTATAAGCCTATACCGGTGAGCCCGAAGTTAATGCATGATGGTCAAGACGGTCTGTTTGCCAAAAAAAGTTTGTTCCGCCGAAAGATGGTTTTTTGGAGGGTTTGATTCTGTAATGCAGTTCAAAGACAAAACCTTTCATTCTAGACCATGTTTAAAAATCTAACTTTTTTAAGATACTATGTTTTGATAGAGAACTGCTAAAGGATATCATCATAATTGAAAAAGAAGCGGTCGCTGTGCTTTATGTATTGCAATAGCAATATTACAGAAAAAAATCTAGATATTTTTCAAAATTAACATGCGCGTTGAAATATTATTTTTCGGGTCCTAAAATCAAGGAGAGTGATAGATTTGAAGCCTATCTTTTGCCGAGTGATTCCGCAAAATTCTACAAAACACTATGTTAATCAAATTAGCGCTCCTGTCATTGACCCTTAATACAACCATGGAAAGCAACGTACTTAAAAACGATAGGAGTATAAGACATTACAAATGAATTTATTTTATATTGAAATAAACCTTCTCTTCAAACATGAGTTTTATACCCCACGAATGCCTCGCCGTTGATTTTACCAGAGACCAAGGTCACCGAATGATGCTACCAGTGGCTTAAAAATAAAAGTAAAAACAACATCTATATACAGTACAATAGAAATTACACTTTCTGATTCATTATATCATTTCCCGCATTTTTGTTCACTTAAATGACAATAAGCAACATCACTTTAGCCTTGTCTGAAATCCTCCAACTACCCGAAAGTTACGAATATATTCAATTTTTCATGTTGAATTGGCCCGTCAATATTGCGATGGTCAACGAAACCATATAACGTCATAGTTTCATTGGCGCCGTATGCAATGTGACGTCATTAAAGAACGAGAAAGAGATTTTGGTGTAAATGAGATGCTGTTTTCACCATCGTTAAGTCGTGTGATGAAAGAACCTTATACGAATTTCTTTTTCGGGATATTTGTTATACCTCTATTTTGATTGGTTGGTTATCCTCTCGTGTCCGGGTATCGTCTCACCGACGAACGTCAGCGTTCTGGCGACGTGTATCTTAATTTTAACGAGCCTTTCTATATAATCTCTCTGGTAAGCTAAAAACGGTACCCTTTTCAAACTATATCGTAAAACATAGTTGAACACAGAAGCAAAACCTTTTTCTGAACAGGTAAAATTTCGTATGATGATTTCAGACGATAATTGGGCATTTGGAATTTGACACTAATCATACAAGTCAATCTGGTTTCTTTTTCACTTATAATTTCAGATGCTGGTGTAGGGGAAGCAACTCCTACTAAAACAATGGCGGGGCATTTGGCTACTATCTATTGGTGTTTATCTGCAGTTAAAAAATAGTTGTATCCTAATTATTTATGAAAAGGATAAATAAAAAATATATACATTCGGGTTATTTTGAAAATATTAGTCTCTTATATGAACACTTCTGAAGACACCATTGGTCTGTTTTTGTTTTGTTTGCTTTTATCATCTTTTGAATATTAGTGTAATGTTACCACTTTTCGGTCTTATGTAAGCTTAGACTCTTTCATGAAATAATTTGGATATTGTCTATTTTTCATTATTTTAAAATTCATTTTTCCTTTGTTCTGTGATTTCTGTGAAATTCTCATGATGTAGTTTTGCGTAATATCATAAAGCAAAACTTTAAGATATAATACAAACATACACTGGTAGGACATAATTGAATGAAATACTGACAATTTTAAAGGTTAAGTACAAATATTAAGTCATCCAATCGTATGGTTATGCGCATTGAAAATGAGAAAGTAAATGCTTCCTTTATTTTACTTATGAGGGCCATATATAAGATTAGTACTCTACTTAATATGTAACCATTGTTAAATAAAATCTTGCATATGGTATCCATATATTACGATCCACCATTGAAAGATCTATTTCTTTTTTGTCCTGTGCATTACTTAATCTTTACTTTTCTCTTCTGTTGTAAATTACCTTGTAATGACTATGATTTAAATTTTGGTTAACGGGCAATCATTACATTTACCAGTGTTAGCTTTCAACACGAGTTACTCCCCTTGGATAGCTCTCTTCTATTGTTTACAATCTCCATAGAAACTTGTGGTAGAACAATCTGATCCGTGCTGCTCTCAGGGTGAAGCGGCATTTACTGCCTCAAGATGAGCATTCTCAACGAAGGAAGGAATGAAATACGATTCAACAATTCAAATAGCCAGTGTTTGATTGAGAATTGGGTTGAGGAGGTAAGTGGATTTGTGGTTAATCTATTGTATCGTTATTGAGTAGTAGTATTTTTTGTTTTTGTTTTTTTTGTTGACAGTCAGTGTCAGCTGAAAGTTATCTCCAGAAATTTCTCTCAAGTATATGTCTAGTAACCCATAGTCATACTTTATCCTTTGTCATTAACGTATCCCCATACATTTTGTATAAATCACGTCATGCTTTTTCACCCCCCTGTTGTTACTAGGCTACTATTTACTGGATGAAGACGTCTGTGATTATATACATGTAGTCCGTGTCGGTTCTCGGAGCTCTTTCCAACTATACAAAGTGATTCTAATAAGGCAACAGAACAATTTTGGTTATCATTTGAAAAATTTGAAATACAATACATTCAGTCAATATCATTGAAGCCAAATGTCCACAACCTTTCACATAGATATATGAAGAAGGAATTTTGAGAGATGAAATAAAAATATGGACACAACACAACTAAGAGGTTTAATTTTTTTCACTTTGCAGAGAGCCGTGAAACAGTTTGATGAGGTTGAAGATGATATAAATATAACAAGTAGTGCTCAGAAATTCAGGGATGGACATCTGGGAGTATTGACCACTGATTTTGATGCCAATGCAGAGAAACTGACCACTGTCCGAGCATCCTACAAAAGGCCCGAGCCGTGCGGAGTGAGACTCACTGGTAATAAATCACTAAAGCCTGACTTTAAAACATTGTTTGCACTCCTGCTGAGGACATAGTTCAGAGATTTTTTTCTGTGTAAAATTGTGACATCTATGTTGTAACCATCAAAGTATGAATTAATGAATATTAAACATAGTCCCAGAGAATTGGACCTTTAAACATAAAGTCTGAAAATAGAATATGAACTAGCAGGGTTTCCCCTAAAAGGTTTTGTGTAAAACATGCATCATAATCTGAAATACATGTAATAGGTTTGGCTTTCATTTACCTCAAAACAATGTTAATTGTTAAATTTAGAAAAAGAAAAGGGGGGGGGGATATGTTTCCTTCAATCATGGAATGAGAAAAAATATGCATGTAAAATCTAACTGAAGGACAAAGCTTTTTATGGACAGATAGATCTACATGGGCAGGATGATTTTATGATAATAATCCATCTGTCTGTCAATGGCTTCAGTGTTAATGTAGGGTAAGCCAGATCATGGAATATTAGAGAGAGAGAGAGAGAGAGAGAGAGAGAGAGAGAGAGAGAGAGACAGAGAGACAGAGAGAGAAAAGCTGTGTACATGGATCCCTAAGGGTTTAAGGGTTTGAACCTGATTCATACTTGGTAAAAAAAAAAAAATTAAAAACTGACTATGATATCATATAGCTAATAGCATCAAATTAATAATGATTTAACTTTACTTCTTACAGGGAAAAAAGAAGAACTTATGAAACAGATGCTTTTAGAGAAAGTCAGGTAATGTCCTATTTAGTTCGAAGTTTTTCAGATATGACTGTATTCATTTTTTGACATACTTTTACTGAAATATGTATCAAAGGTGAAATGGTGATTTTATTTTTTCTGATCCTAAGACAGAGTGAGAATTAATATTTTTTTTCACTCTGGTGCCTTCTCTTTCCACTGTATCAAACTTATTTATGCCAACATTTTTCTGATCATTTTAGTCAAGAAGTGTTCCAAGATGATATAAATCCTCCAGAACCAGAGCGCACAGATTTCCGATCAGTGACAATGAAAGATTTCAACAAAGAAGAATTTAAACATGTGAAACCAGCTCCTACACGGGTGAGTGTTGACAGATACTTCATTCTCAATGTTGGTAATATAAACATGATAAAACTAAGAATAAATTACCAGGTCATCCGTGGTACATGTCACTAGAGAAACAATCTATGATAGGAAATCCTCTTTATAACATTGATGAAAGTGAGCTTTAAATTTACTGAAAATACTTTCATGGCAAATTTATCTAAATTATATTTTCAGAACAGGATGTGAAAATTTTCCTTAAGCAGAATTTTTCATAACTAATCTTAATTCATTAGAAATTTATCATTTTTTTCTTTTCTTGACAATTATTCTATCAAAATGATGATACTTTTTTTTTTATGTTTTCAGCCACATGACTATAGGAAAGACCAGCCAGTCAGTTTTTGGTCAGAACACAAAGATAGAATCACGGTAAATATATGTTGTTTAAATTGTAATTCAGTTGAGTGTAGACTAATCTTTACACCCTAGTGCACAAGAAAGAGAATACAGGTGAACTAGTAGTGCACTAAGGTCCACACATGTAATGTGAAAAGAATTTGTGATATATAATGGGAAGAAGCCATGGTCTCCTGGCCCCAGTTGCTCAAAAGTTAAGAGTTAACCAGTGGTTTGCGAAAAATTTAAATTGCTGCCACTGCACAATCAAAATGCAAAATTATTACTTAGAATATACCAATCTGGCCTGTCTCAACAAAACTGCAATTGTAAAATGATTAAGAATGTCTTTGTTTTATTCATGTTTGAAAATTTTCACTGACAACTGGTTATCACTGACCAGCCTTTCAAACAAGATTTAAGTGCTGCATTTTTCCATATAAATAGTGATTTTGATTGTGTTGATTTACAGGGTGTCTCGCAGGTCAAGACTCGTGACTCACCATTTAGGAAAAATGATGCTTTCTCCAAGCCAATTGATGAGTACTGGGATGAAACTGGACCATATGAACTAGAAAACTACCCAAAGATGTAGTGAATTGATTGAACTGATCCTAAAGGCTGGATGCATGTGTATGGGTGGGTGTGTGAATCTGAGAGATAGCTTTACAATAGTGTTACAGAACTAGTACTGATGTAACATACATGTAACTTTAAAGTACATAACATCAAATGTAACTATATCAGTAACATACATTGTTACTTTAGCAGTAACATTCATTGTTACTTTAGTAGTAACATACATGTAACTTTACAATTAACTTATACAGAGCCTCCTGTTTTAATGTTGATTAGCACAAATTACTCTTTGTCACAGATGAACAGATTTGTTGATATTTATGTTTGTGATAAAAAAACTTTCAGTGAAAAGAGTGGTTCTTTTTAAGTTCAGTAGGAGTAGAATTCCTATATGATAAATATGTACTTGCTATTTACAGTACCTGAATAGTCCTCAATAGAAGTAAGATGATTTTATAAAAATGGTTTTTTTTTTTTGTTAAGATACATCATGTATTGTTTAAAATGTGATGTTTTAAATACACAGCAAAAATACACTTACAGTGGACAAAGACATTTGCTTTTGGGAGGTAGTCTTTTAAATATACCATGCGAATATTACTGTTTTTGACACCGATCATGTTATCAAATTATAGATCTATCAGTATGAATATGTTGTTTACATGACATGATGAAAGTTTATATCACAATAAAACATTGAAGTATGGCCTTGTTTTCGTACTATTCTTCTATGTGAAGATTTCTGCTCTGAGCTGATCTCAATTTACGGTGATTGCCCTGCTTGTTGGTAATGCACTCACCTTTCACCTTGGATTGAGAAAAACCTTTTTTATGATCTCACATGAAAGTGGAAGGTCTGTCTGAAAGATGAAGTTAATGTTTGGAACTGTAAATTAAGTTTGAAACTTAACCTGTATAATCATCTTGGATGGTATTTGACTGTTGTGTTTTTCGTAGGACACTGTGACCCATATTTTGACCAATAATAAGTCATTCCTCTTTGTGTTAGATGTACTGTTAAGCACCTGGGCTTATTGTCCACTGCTGATCCAATCTTCTGAATTTGATTAAGAGGTAAAGTGCTAGCTCCTGGGCTTTTTGTCCATTATACCACTGAATTTGAATAAAAGGTGAAGTGCCAGGTCCTCCGCTGATATGCCCTCCTCCCCTTAATTACTGAGTCGGAGGTACAAATCTAACATGCTAACCCTTAGCAGGATAAGTAGTACTACATGGACTGTATGTGATGCTTGGCACTTTCCCAAATAGAAAGCACTTTTAAAAAACTACTTCAAAACAAAATTTTCATTTTTTTATTTCAACTTTAAAGAGGTGGCTGATATTTGATTACAAACTTTCTGCAGAAATGTGAACATTCTTGATTAGTAGGACAAAAAAACCCAGATATTTGTCTTTTTAAATACAATATCAAAATGAAAACTAGTATATACTACAAACATTTGCAACATCTCGTCAATGCTGACATAGGAAACAAATAAAAACTAAATCAAATCTGATTATATGAAATTCATCACAATGCTTAACAATTTCTCCCACAAAGACTATATAGACAACAAGTAATGGTATATAAAGAATTCAACAGAACTTTGTAAATGATTCTCACTTTTCAACATATTCATTGAGCGAAATAGTCACTTTAAACAGTTATCTTTAGTGTTTAAATACGTAAGCATAATGGTTGACAGATAGAAAGAAATTTGTGTGAAAACACTTAATTCACAACATCTACATCAAAAGTCATGGAAACAATAAACAAAATTTAAACCCAATCAAAAATTTCACTTTTGTAACAGAAAAGTATGATCACAAAGTTCTATTACAATGAAAGAATCCACAAGGAAATGAAAAGCAAAACTTGTAATATTCTAGAAATTTTCTAACTTTTATCTACGATATTTTCATGAATTTGTTTTAGTTAATTGTGTTGAAACTAAAAATCAAACTGGCACCATTTCTGGTTCAGGCAACAAGCAAATAGAACAAAGCAAACACAGAACAGTATGTCTTATACCTTATCAGTCAGCAGTCAAAACTATCTCCCCTAGGTGTTGGCACCAACCCAGTGAACTTTTTCTCAAAGCCACAGGCTGATGGAAATAGTTCCATCTGGTAGGTCGCAACTTGAGGGCAAATGGTTTTGATTGCATAAAAGGCATGAAACACCTGTTCTGTTCCCTGAATGATTCAAAATAATCAGATATAGGTTATTTAAAAAAACACTTAGTTTTTACAGAAGTAGCCATCATGGGCGATCTGTTTACATTGGCAACTGTGATCAGAAAGACGTCAATCATAAATGTGTGAGCGTGTTCATATATTCAATGTTTAAACATTTTCACAGAAAATAATCACTTTAAATTACTTTTAAATACTTAAAATTTACAGTCAAATAGAGAGGCTGGTAAGTGTATCCACTACTACATTGACTTAATGCAGAAAGCTACTCTGAGTAAGATACTGTTTTATCATTGGATAACTCCAAATGGATGTTCTGCAAATGAAAAGAAATATGAGTAAGAATTTATGTGTACCAGTAAATTCCTGTAGTAGAAATGTTCCCTGTAGGTGTAAGTTAGGTGAAGGTGTAAGCTAGACGGAATGTTCCCTGTAGATATAAGTTAGGTGTAGGTGTAAGCTAGATGGAATGTTCCCTGTAGGTGTAAGCTAGACGGAATGTTCCCTGTAGGTGTAAGTTAGGTGTAGGTGTAAGCTAGATGGAATGTTCCCTGTAGGTGTAAGCTAGACGGAATGTTCCCTGTAGGTGTAAGTTAGGTGAAGGTGTAAGCTAGACGGAATGTTCCCTGTAGATATAAGTTAGGTGTAGGTGTAAGCTAGATGGAATGTTCCCTGTAGGTGTAAGCTAGACGGAATGTTCCCTGTAGGTGTAAGTTAGGTGTAGGCTAGATGGAATGTGTCCTGTAGGTGTAAGTTAGGTGTAGGTGTAGGCTAGATGGAATGTTTCCTGTAGGTGTAAGTTAGGTGTAGGTGTAAGCTAGATGGAATGTTCCCTATAGGTGTAAGTTAGGTGTAAGTGTAGAATGTTCCCTGTAGGCGTAAGTTAGGTGTAGGTGTAAGCTAGATGGAATGTTCCCTGTAGGTGTAAGCTAGATGGAATGTTCCCTATAGGTGTAAGTTAGGTGTAGGTGTAAGCTAGACCGAATGTTCCCTGTAGGCGTAAGTTAGGTGTAGGTGTAAGCTAGATGGAATGTTCCCTGTAGGTGTAAGCTAGACGGAATGTTCCCTGTAGGTGTAAGTTAGGTGTAGGTGTAAGCTAGATGGAATGTTCCCTATAGGTGTAAGTTAGGTGTAAGTGTAAGCTAGACCGAATGTTCCCTGTAGGCGTAAGTTAGGTGTAGGTGTAAGCTAGATGGAATGTTCCCTGTAGGTGTAAGCTAGATGGAATGTTCCCTATAGGTGTAAGTTAGGTGTAAGTGTAAGCTAGACCGAATGTTTCCTGTAGGTGTAAGTTAGGTGTAAGTGTAAGCTAGACGGAATGTTCCCTGTAGGCGTAAGTTAGGTGTAGGTGTAAGCTAAATGGAATGTTTCCTGTAGATGTAAGTTAGGAGAAGGTGTAAGCTAGATGGAATGTTCCCTGTAGATGTAAGTTAGGTGTAGGCTAGATGGAATGTTCCTTGTAGGTGTAAGTTAGGTGTAGGCTAGATGGAATGTTCCTTGTAGGTGTAAGTTAGGTGAAGGTGTAGGCTAGATGGAATGTTTCCTCTAGGTGTAATTTAGGTGTAGATGTAAGCTAGACAGAATTTTTACTTCAGTTGTAAGCTAGACAAAATATTCTCTGTAGGTGTAAGGTAGTTGTAGGTGAAAACTAGGCAGAATGTGGGATTAAGCTATTCGGAATGTTTTATGTACGAGAATGTTAGGTGGAATTTTTCCTGTAGGTGAAAGTTAAAGCTAAGAGGAAAGCTTTATGTAAGAATAATCTATTGGGAAATTTCAATGTAAGAGTAAGCCAGACAAAATGTTCCCTGAAGGAGTACCTTGTCGGTAAAGTAAGGATGAATGTTCCCTGTAAGTATAACTTAGGATGAATGTTCCCAGTAGGTATAACTTAGGATGAATGTTCCCAGTAGGTATAACTTAGGATGAATGTTCCCAGTAGGTATAACTTAGGATGAATGTTCCCAGTAGGTATAACTTAGGATGAATGTTCCCAGTAGATATAACTTAGGATGAATGTTCCCAGTAGGTATAACTTAGGATGAATGTTCCCAGTAGATATAACTTAGGATGAATGTTCACTGTAGGTATAACTTAGGATGAATGTTCCCAGTAGGTATAACTTAGGATGAATGTTCACTGTAGGTATAACTTAGGATGAATGTTCCCAGTAGGTATAACTTAGGATGAATGTTCCCAGTAGGTATAACTTAGGATGAATGTTCCCAGTAGGTAGGTATAACTTAGGATGAATGTTCCCAGTAGGTATAGGTATAACTTAGGATGAATGTTCCCAGTAGGTATAGGTATAACTTAGGATGAATGTTCCCAGTAGGTATAACTTAGGATGAATGTTCCCAGTAGGTATAACTTAGGATGAATGTTCCCAGTAGGTATGACTTAGGATGAATGTTCCCAGTAGGTATAACTTAGGATGAATGTTCACTGTAGATATAACTTAGGATGAATGTTCACTGTAGGTATAACTTAGGATGAATGTTCACTGTAGGTATAACTTAGGATGAATGTTCCCAGTAGGTATAACTTAGGATGAATGTTCCCAGTAGGTATAACTTAGGATGAATGTTCACTGTAGGTATAACTTAGGATGAATGTTCCCAGTAGGTATAACTTAGGATGAATGTTCCCAGTAGGTATGACTTAGGATGAATGTTCACTGTAGGTGTAACTTATATGTAAGTGTAAGCTAAACTGAGTGTTCTCAATATGATCAAGCTAGTCAGAGGCAGAATGTTCTGTGTAGGAATAATCTTGGCTGAATGTTCCCTATAGTTTGTCGGAATGTTCTTAATAGGTTTAAATTAGAAGGAATGTCTCTTTAGTCTTCTGAAAATATACTATGTAACCTGAACTTTACCAAGGTAGCAGCATATCATTATATTTACTAACAACTCACACTTCAAAAACATCATCATTAAAAAACAAATTGGAAAAAAAGAAAAATGATTTTGAAATATTGACAATAACAATGCCCTCATTAGTACAATAGAGATGTATCACAAACACCAATTTCATCGTATATGTAAATAATTCTCCTTGATTGTATCTATTTCATTGTGCTACACTAAGACAAATTTTTCAATGATTTTGCTTATTGCACATTCTTTAATATTGTTTTTTTCCCCAGACATACTATTTGAGTGATGTATACATTAAAAGGTTAATTTCCACATTTTTTTAAACTTGAACCTCTGTATACATTTTTTTTACCCGTCTGTTAAAATATCCAATCAATCTATCTGAGATGCATTAAGTCTACATAGCACTTGGAGAATGGCTTTCCTGTATCTTTGCTCATGGGAATGGGTTTCCTGTTATTTTACATAGAAGGAGGGGTTTCCTGTAACTTTACACAAGGGGATGGGTTTCCTGTAACTTTACATAAGAGGGGTTTCTTGTAACTTTACATAAGAGGGGTTTCCTGTAACTTTACACATGGGGATGGGTTTCCTGTAACTTTACATAAGAGGGGTTTCCTGTAAATTTGCACATGGAAATGGCTTTCCTCTAATTTTATGTATCGGTAAGAGGAGGGATTTCCTGTAACTTTGCACAAGGGGATGGGTTTCCTGTAACTTTACATAAGAGGGGTTCCTGTAAATTTGCACATGGAAATGGCTTTCCTCTAATTTTATGTATCGGTAAGAGGAGGGATTTCCTGTAACTTTGCACAAGGGGATGGGTCTCCTCTAATTTTATATAAGAGGGGTTTCCTGTAACTTTGCACATGGGGATGGGTTTCCTCTAATTTTATTTGCACATGGGGATGGGTTTCCTCTAATTTTATATAAGAGGGGTTTCCTGTAACTTTGCACATGGGGATGGGTTTCCTCTAATTTTATATAAGAGGGGTTTCCTGTAACTTTGCACATGGGGATGGGTTTCCTCTAATTTTATATAAGAGGGGTTTAATGTAACTTTGCACATGGGGCTGGGCTTCCTATAATTTTATATAAGAGGGGTTTCCTGTAACTTTGCACATGGGGTTGGGTTTCCTATAATTTTAGAGAGGTTACTCGTAACTTAAAACATGGGGAATGGTTTCTGTTAATTTACACATGGGGAGGGGTGTCCTAAAGCTGATCATATGGGGCTTCTATCACTTCACACATGGGCATTAGAGGTAGGATGGTTATCCTATAACTTAACACACAGGAGGGTGTTTCTGTAACTTCTGGTGTTGGATACCCTGTAACTTAAGTTTGCAAATACGATTTTTACATCAACATATCTAATAATACAGCCATATTCCTATAAAATGCACAAAAAGGAATCTTGGAGACTACTAGTATATCTATCTAAACAAATTTTTCAGTTACTTCAATTTTAATGTTTCCTGCCAAATTCAACCGCAACTCATTTTGGAAAGATAAGGTTGAATTTGTTTTTTTTTTACAAACGTTCTCTTACATTATTAAAAACAAAAGTTTCTAAAATTAGATATGTATAGTAGTTAAATTCCATCTGACATCCATATTATTGTCATAGATACAAAAGTATAAATAAAAAAAAAAATCTTTTTTTTCTCAAGAAATATAGGAAAGAGCTATAATATATTGTATTTATATAAAGAAATATAAAAAATTTCAAAATCATGATCCATATATCAGTAAATGCATCTCCCAAAATCATTCATTTTCTTTATTTAGCCTGTTTTATATTCATTTTATACATAAATTGAAAAAAAGTAACACAAAATATATTGTGATGATTTTTGACAACTCATACTATAATAGATGTTATTTTTTTAAGATGGTTTATTTTTCACAGTTTTTATGAAATCATGAAAAATAAAAATAATTAAAACACACATAAAGAAAATTTGGATCCGTTCCATAATTCCTAAAGCATCAAACTTTACAGTAACTTAAATAAATGCTTTACAACTGTTACAGGAACGAATAATGGAAAATGGCTTCCATTGGAGCATGAACAAAGGAAATCTTACTCTCCGAGTAAATTTTGTACCACCAGGGTAAAGGCAAATTACCAAACTAGTCAGGGCTACTATTGTATATATTTCTAAGTTGAAAGTTTAATATTTTACAGTTGTACTGATCAGACCAAATCTTGCACAATGCTTGTTATAGTTTCTCACTAAATAGGTAAACACATAATACCTTTGTATGTTTACAGGCTTAAAATATACACTGATTAAGATTATGTTTCATGTTATATCAATTTTGCTTGGTATTAATTACATATTTTTTTTTTGAGACTAGGAAGGAATTGTTATTAAATTCCCTTTAAGATATGATCAAATCTATGGTCAGACAACCAGTGTTACAATTTTTACATTACTTCCCCCTTCACAAAGTCTTCAATCATGAAGACAATGAAAGCCAGAGTTCTTCAGTTCATGAAACGTCATACAGATGGAGTGGTCAATGGCACAAAATCTTTAATAAGAAAGTGTAATAAAGTTGCAGTATCAGAGTGTCGTGATACCCAACTGGCAACAAAGGAAAAGTGAAGAATTTTAAGTGTTACTGAAGTGGTATACTTGAGACATTTCAGACTGTATCAGGAGTTGATAGACCAAGGCCAACAACAAAGGTTAATTAAAAGTGGGGCTGGTCAAAACAATATAAAAACTATGTCAAATTTCAATTCAATATCAAAGAAAATGAAGTGAAATGCAAAATTATTTTTCTAGATTCAAGGGCCATAACTCTGGAAAAATAATTCCAAAGGAACTGCATCTTCTCATTGGACAAATCAAACTTGATTGCTCACAATGGGGCTTAAACCAGCAATTTCTAGCTTTGTGAGGAGCAACTGGTGACCTGCACTCTCAAATTTACACTCTTAAAGCATATGATTGTGCATCACTTGTGCAACAGGTATACCTGTTGATTGCCTTTATGACTTAAATGTGTTGATGGGCCATTGAGACTGTAATAATCATAAAAGTATTAGGACAAAATAATCAATAAACATGGAATATGATTTTTCAAGTGAAGTAAGAAAAAACAACATCATCATTAGACTGGGAAATGTAACACATTTGTAATTGTAATTTCCCAAGTAAAATTCATTAGACATGAATACAAAACAAATTTGTGATTGAGTTTTCCAGGTAAAATAAATCAGACAGGAAAGTGAAATACAATTGTACATTTGTGATTGTGATTTCCCAAGTAAAAGGAATAAGACAGGAAAATCAAGCACATTAGTGAATGTGATTTCCCTCCTTAAATAAATTTGAAACAAAATGCATCTGCGATTGTGATTTTCCAGGAAAAAAAATAATAGAACATGATGACATAGTTGCTTTGTGATTGTGATTGGTCTGTTAAAATAAATTAAACACAACAATGTTTTACATTTGTGATTTCCACTGTAAAATAAATTAAACATGATGAAAAAATAGATTTGTAATTGCAACAAAGAAACAATCTGTCAACATCATTAACATATAATATAACAATCAGGATAAAAAGTTAAAATGACAGGAAAAATGATAACAACTTCTTGTCAAAAGATTATGTACATAATCTTTCATTTCACACTTTTAAAATCATCAGCCTCCATGTACATTCACACAGAACCTTTTAACAGTTAACATTCAACATTTCAGCACAAAACACAATAAAATTCAAAAATCACACTGAAATCCAATAACATGGCAGTTGTTTAAAAAAAATTCTGATATTTGTTTCAAACAAAAATGATCACACTGGAGTTGATATAAGTGGTTCATTAAGTAATTGTGGTCATAATAATATATATCACAGAAAACATTGCAAGCCAAAAAGGCAAAGTGTCAACAAGTATATTAACAAATATATTATGACAGTCTTGAAATGGGACTGGAAAAACGTTGACCGGTGTTAACTACATGGTTCGTCTCCATCCTTACTTTGACATGTTCCCTTCTCCTCTGTATGTGTATGGAGAATTTTTAAACTCAAATTTATCTGTAAACAAAAATGAAGGAAAATAAGAACTAACTTGTTCCAACAGATACTTATTGTATTCTTTCACATACTCCAGCAATGCAGTATACCGGTAACTGTCCATAGTCTCAAAATACCATGATGGCATCAAAGTAAAATATTTACCAATATATGGCATTCTTACAGTGTAACCTTATTAAGTCAGGTGTGTAGTACACATGAACAGCCAGAAGCATATGCAAGTATGTAAACAACTCTAGGTTGCCTCCCCTTGTAAGATATAAATTGAAAATGATAAATGTAAATGTCAATCTGCTTTAAGTTGGCATTCCTGGTCATTATGAATTCCATCTGGATAAAGACAAACTCAGTGTAAGTGTTAACTTGCCTTTGTCGAAATGGCATTCATACTGCTCATGAAAGCATTCAGAAAGAAGTTAAATAATTCAGTGATTCATTATCAGTTATCATAAAATAAAATGAGCTTAATGGACTTACCTCTTCTAAGACCTCTATATTGGTTTGTAGAACAGAATGAAGTTGTTTCACTGTCGCTAGATGCGAGTCAGACTGCATAGAGTAAATGGTCTGGTACAACTTCTCCCTGTGATAAAACGATAAACCACCCTTAGGTGTCACAATTTTGGAGCAAAATCAAGGCACTTGAAATATATATGCTTTCACTCAAGCATGCTACTGACCAAATATGAGTATAGGCTTCTTGGTGTTTTAAAAGAAGTAATTAAAACACATTTTACATCTGAGATCATGAAATATTATATTATCAATATTCTCAAAAAGAGACCTAGGATCAAACAAATAATCTGAGACTGCCACACAAGTGTATGTTACCTCCATGATGATTGAGAGACTGGAGACCAGATATCTTTGGCTTCTAATTTGGCCTGAAGTAGAAGGATTTTGTAGGTCAGTCCCACAGCTGACAGCAACAGGAAAAGTACCCTGGAAATATCAAAGAATATAGGTAATGTAAATCTGGAAAAATCCAGACTAAATGACTGCTAGATAATGCACAAATCTACCTGGTAGTCTATACAGGTAAGCTCTGCGGAAAACATTTCCTTGAGGGGGGAGATATAATTATCATAATTCTTAATTTTTATGTTGTTTTCAGAAGATAAATTTTTCAGATCTCTTGAATGGTCAGCAATCGATTCTTAAATATATCTAAATACTTACATTATTGAACATATCGCCAGCAGGAGATTGGTGCGGGGAACCCTGGAACAAGAGTCAACAATCAGAACTGGTCACTGAGACGGACTTATACTTTTCACACAACTACCCCGTTCTCAGTGAAAACGCCATTAGGTAAACTGTGTTAGGACCACATATGTAATCTCATCCAGTAGAGCTGTGATTGGCTGAATGTTTAACTCATTTCAATTATGACATCATAACCTATTCATGTCATATGGATTTTGATGTCATCAAAGAAAGACATATGGAATGGGAATATCATCAAATATGATCTTATATCAGTCTAATAAAACACTGTATAGTTTCTAACTTGTATGATAAACAGAATCTTACACTTGTTTCCATTTCCTAGGAGATTTATGAAACAAAAACTCATATTAGATCCCCTATTTATCTTGCTGTATGCCCCAGATAAAGCAAATACTAAACTGAATCTCCAATTATTTTGACATTCATAACTAAATTTTCTTTGTTCACTGAAGAAAACATCAACATGATGCAAGACCACACCCAAATCATGTCAGATTCTCAGTAATGTGAGTAGCACATAGAAATAAGAATTTCAGAGAGATGTACTCACTTTTGAAATTTCACAGCCAGCTGTGAAAATGCTGCATACATTTTACGACAATCAAAGCCTGAAACAAGAACATACATATTTAAAGTAACCTTTCCTAAACAGAGAAGGTCGCCATCTCGAATATGGGATAATTGGATGATGGTGGGCTTAAAGTATTGCCCATGGACAAGAATGGATGGTCCTTTGGACTAGCTGAGCTAAATAGTATGTTTTATCTTGGTAATTACTCAAGTTTACAATAAAACTTCCTTGGAACTTACACTGAATAAAATAAGGAATGCTGAATTTCCAACCTTCAATGACCTCTTCCCTCTGCCCTATGATCTCAGAATGAACAAATGTAGTGGATTGTACACTGTTTTCTGTCTCAAGTGGAACGTCTTTGTTACTGTTGGAATCACTGTTGTCAACAACTCCACACTCAGGACACACACTTGAGTCTGACTCACATGAGTCCAGCTTGTTTTGACCGGAGTCTGGGGCAGTGATTACATTGTTGTTATGAAAGTCTGTATTTGGGGATATGAAGGATTTACTGGTCTTCAATTCGTACTTCCTGTCCGGGTCATCTGGTACAGTTTGGTCTAGAGACATCGTGAAGGATATCTATTCAAGAAAAATCAAACCTATATAACAGCCTGGCATTGAGATGAAAAATATACTCTTCCAAGTTAAAGTTCAATTCACTTATCAATATCAAATATTTGCTGCTTTAAAATGTCTGAAATGACCTGAAAATATGAAATTGTGTTACATGATTTTGTTTTTTCAAGTTATAAACAAATTATGTCATGGTTGAAAAGCAACATCTTTTTTGCCATTTCCTTATTTCAACAAGTTCATTAACTTCCATGAAACAGATTATACCATACTATACTTTAATCATTAACTTCCATGAAATAGACTATACCATACTATACTTTAATCATTAACTTCCATGAAACAGATTATACCGTATTATACTTAAATCATTAACTTCCATGAAACAGATTATACCATACTATACTTTAGTAATTAACTTTAATTATTAACTTCCATGAAATAGACTATACCATATTATACTTAAATCATTAACTTCCATGAAACAGATTATACCATATTATACTTAAATCATTAACTTCCATGAAATAGACTATACCATACTATACTTTAATTATTAACTTCCATGAAATAGACTATACCATACTATACTTTAATTATTAACTTCCATGAAATAGACTATACCATACTATACTTTAATCATTGTTTATTACCCTTGTCTTAATTCATGGTGATTAACTTTTCTGAATTTGTATCTTTGTGAAATTTAGGAAAGTAAAATGGATGTAAAAGGAAGCTGGTTTACATATAATATTAGAATACCTGGTTATAATTAACTGATTATTAAACCTAGCCAGGTGAGATCAGGTAAGGAAATAGGAGGCTGAGGTTACTTACTTCATTTGAGGTATTTGAATCATTTCTTATATGTACCAGCATGTCATTCTGAAATAAACCATGGAACAGATTTAGCACCACATCCCTGGTTGTCAGGACACTTTGTAACAAGATTTATTAAAACAACAAAAGATGAAAATTGAGTGTTTTCTTACCTGTTGCTGGGTTTTTTTCCAGAGACTATAAAGAAACTTGTAAGTGTTATCTCGGGAGATGAAGGATCCAAACACATACTGAAAAAGACAACAGATCTCAGTGATACATTCAACAAACAAGGTAACTAGAGAAAAAATATTATAAATTCTAAACCAGGGACCTGTCCTTAAACACAGCCCCGCTTTAGAACCACCAATCAGGTTTTCGAGGGCCTATTGGGCCTGTTCCCACCCCATTGCTTCTTTTGCTATCTATATATCTTTAAAGTGTAAGTCATGATAACAGTGGTTAACATGAAGCATTATATAATACTTATATTTCAGTCACTTCTGAAAAACCTTTATTTATTGTAAGTTGTGTGGCAAACTTGATGTGCTAGACAAGAACCCTGTACTTATTAACCTAACAATATGGAGTGCCAGACAAGATTGTGCCTACTAACCTTACACCATGGCATGCTAGACAAGTTTGTACCTACTAACCTTACACCTTGGTGTGATAGACGAGAAGTTTGTGCCTACTAACCTTACACTATGGTGTGCTAGACAAGAAGTTTGTGGCTACTAACCTTACACCACGGTGTGCTAGACAAGAAGTTTGTGGCTACTAACCTTACACTATGGTGTGCTAGACAAGAAGTTTGTGCCTACTAACTTTACACCATGGTGTGTTAGACAAGTTTGTGCCTACTAACCTTACACCATGGTGTGTTACACCATGGTGTGTTAGACAAGTTTGTGCCTACTAACCTTACACCATGGTGTGTTAGTCAAGTTACCTACTAACCTTACACCATGGTGTGCTAGACAAGAAGTTTGTGCAGGTTTATCTAAGAATATAGATACTAGCTATACCTAAGACCATGACGTGAGAGACAAGAACTTTTGTCTGCTAACTTTAAACTATGACTTGCAGAAATATAAACTGGTGTGTATAAGACAAAAAGTTTGAAATTTGTTCCATTTGACTTGCTGACTCCATCCTCTCTTAAAAAGGTATAATGGTTTTAATTATACAAACACACACAAAGCCAAGGTATTGTTAGCAAGACCACGTTGCTCAGGAGACAATAACGTCAAACTAGGTTCAAAAGCTTGTATCAGACCATTTATAGAACATTAATAAGTGAACAATAATTTATTTTCCTCTGTCCAATACATAATCTTGCAAGAACATACATCCATGAAATAACCAACAGGGCCAACACTTCTGTACATTTAGTCTACAAAGAGCCATTCTTTTATTCTGGGAGCAAGACCATGTGAATTGCTTCATTATATAAATATTTGATACATGTTTGTCTATTTATGGCCATGAATGAACCAGCCGTGCCACTAGCGTTGCAGCACTTCAAGAGTACATGCCGATAATAAATCAACCTATGATGTGAAGCTAGCCTATGTTTTTTACCTGCAATTGTATTCAGGCCAGCAAAAAGTATAATTACATACAACTTAAATCATTTCCTCAGCACAAACAAGCTACACAATGAAATAAGACACAAAAACAATATACTTTGCACTAACTAGCTACAGTAGTCCTTGTTTAATTTATAACTTGTCACAGTAAACATTGTAAAGTTAGCACTAACTAGCTACAGTAGTCCTTGTTAATTTATAACTTGTCACAGTAAACATTGTAAAGTTAGCACTAACTAGCTACAGTAGTCCTTGTTTAATTTATAACTTGTCACAGTAAACATTGTAAAGTTAGCAGTAACTAGCTACAGTAGTCATTGTTAATTTATAACTTGTCACAGTTAACATTGTAAAGTTAGCACTAACTAGCTACAGTAGTCCTTGTTTAATTTATAACTTGTCACAGTAAACATTGTAAAGTTAGCACTGTCTAGCTACAGTAGTCATTGTTAATTTATCACCAGTCACAGTAAACATTGTAAAGTTAGCACTAACTAGCTACAGTAGTCCTTGTTAATTTATCACCAGTCACAGTAAACATTGTAAAGTTAGCACTAACTAGCTACAGTAGTCCTTGTTAATTTATAACTTGTCACAGTAAACATTGTAAAGTTAGCACTGTCTAGCTACAGTAGTCATTGTTAATTTATCACCAGTCACAGTAAACATTGTAAAGTTAGCACTAACTAGCTACAGTAGTCCTTGTTAATTTATAACTTGTCACAGTAAACATTGTAAAGTTAGCACTGTCTAGCTACAGTAAAGTTTGTAAAGTTAGCTCTAACAAGTTACAGTAAACATTATAAATTTAGTATTAACTAGCTGCACAAAATATTGTTAATTTATATTTAGCTTCAGTAAACATTATAATTAAGCTCTTATAAGCTTATTACTAACTTATAACCTAATTTTAACAGGTAAGTGAATAATGTATTCATGGATTAAAAATACCCATGAAAAAAAATCCTGCACAAATATTTATTATTTTACAGTAAGCTTAATTAAAGTAAAGATGATCTAACACTAAATATAACTATACCTCCTTATGTAAGTAATTCCGAGTCAATAATGAGTACTCTTGCAATGACTATGATTTCATCATAGTTAATTTGAAAAGAACACTTGAACTGAATAGTGAATTTTTACCTTTTCCTGAGCTGTCTGGAGACCAATGGCATTTGGGATGATAAGGGCAGTCTTTTCTCGAGTTATACTGATGACTTTCTCCATTGGGATCTCCTGCTGTAAAAATCAGTAAAATCATGATTATCACCCTCCATGATGGCCTATAACAGAGGGACTGAAGTCAAAAGTTCATTAGAAGGCCACAACACACTTTATCTAAGCAAACTAAAATTGATCAATTAGTTGATAAAAAAGAGCCACAGCTCACTCTACCTAAAGAAAATTAAATTTACCAAAAAACAGTTCATAAACAAAGGTCATAATTCACTCTACCCAAAGAAATGTAATTTACCAAAACCAGTTTATAAGCAAGAGGCCAGGGAAGGTTTGTGCAAAATTTCACTGAAATTGGATCAGGGAATTTTGAGAAGAAGTCGAAAGTGTTAAATTGTTAACGGATGCACAACGCTGGATGAAGGGTATTAGAATATGTCACCATGTGACATTGTCTCAAGTGTCCTAACAAAGGCCATAACTGACTCTACCAAACTAAATAAAATTTACCAATAACAGCTCATTAATAAAGGCCAAGCTCACTACACCTAAATCTGATCAAGTATAAAACTGATGTTATTAGACTATGATACATACTATGAAGCAAATCTGTTGAGGGGTTCATAAAATATCTGGAACACAATGTTGGAACACAGACAGATATACACCCAGTCAGACTAACAGACATAAGAAATGATGTACCATACCATAACCTCAATGCCACCAAGTGCCATATAAACTTAAAAGCTCGCCATGCTGATAAACAATGTATGATCAGTGATACATAGAGAAGATATTCTCCATTGATTTGGCTGTCCCATTCATCACTTACTGATGCTGGTCTGTTAGCTTACAGACTTGATGTGATAAACTAGGTTATACTTCCCTAAGATAAGGAAGTCTAGGGTGGAATTCCTTGCAAATTGATTTGTCATATTGTAACGGTTAACAGTTACAATCGAGACAACTGTCGTTAATAATATATGGATACCAGAATTACGTAAGTAGTTGGATATTGTAATATATTCTCTATGTACTGTTTGTCTTGTAAATTTTTGTACCATGGACTTTTTTCCAATCCTCACAGAATTACAACCCACTCTTTCTGCTAAGGTAAGTAGCAAGATGAAAGATTTTAAGCTCTTTCTATGAAACTATTTCTGGATAAATTTGTTAAAATTCAGCTTTCAATATCCAATTTTCTCCTGCTTCTTAGACATTCGTAGGCTGGTCACTTGGGACATTTTGTAGCCGGGGATTTATTAAAGATCATATTAATTGTAAATAGAGTTCTAAAAAGTCCAATAAAGGCACATTATATTGTCATGAGTAAACAGTTGTTGAGGTCAACTTACCAATCCTCCTCTGCCTATAGAAGCCCATTTACAAGCCATCCTTTACTCATTGATGTCCACACACCAATCATCCCTTACCAATTAAAGTTCACTTACCAGTTGTTCCCATCCTATAGAAGTCACTTACCCATCATCACCTTCCGAAAGAAATCACTTACCCATCAACACGTACCTATAGAAGTCACTTACCCATTGTTGCCTACCTATAGAAGTCACTTACCCATCGTCACCTACCTATAGAAGTCACTTACCCAGCGTCACCTCCCTAAACAAGTCACTTACCCATCGTCACCTACCTATAGAAGTCACTTACCCATCGTCACCTACCTATAGAAGTCACTTACCCATTGTTGCCTACCTATAGAAGTCACTTACCCATCGTCACCTACCTATAGAAGTCACTTACCCAGCGTCACCTCCCTAAACAAGTCACTTACCCATCGTCACCTACCTATAGAAGTCACTTACCCATCGTCACCTACCTATCGAAGTCACTTACCCATCATCACCTACGTATTGAAGTCACTAACCCATCGTCACCTACCTATAGAAGTCACTTACCCATCGTCACCTACCTAAACAAGTCACTTGCCCATCGTCACCTACCTATAGAAGTCACTTACCCATCGTCACCTCCCTAAACAAGTCACTTACCCATCATCACCTACCTATAGAAGTCACTTACCCATCGTCACCTACCTATCGAAGTCACTTACCCATCATCACCTACGTATTGAAGTCACTAACCCATCGTCACCTACCTATAGAAGTCACTTACCCATCGTCACCTACCTATAGAAGTCACTTACCCAGCGTCACCTACCTATAGAAGTCACTTATCCATCGTCACCTGCCTAAACAAGTCACTTACCCATCGTTACCTACCTATAGAAGTCACTTACCCATCGTCACCTACCTATAGAAGTCACTTACCCAGCGTCACCTCCCTAAACATGTCACTTACCCATCGTCACCTACCTATAGAAGTCACTTACCCATCGTCACTTATCTATCGAAGTCACTGACCCATCGCACCTATCTATAGAAGTCACTTACCCATTGTCACCTACCTATAGAATTCACTTACCCATTGTCACCTACCTATTGAAGTCACTTACCCATCGTCACCTACCTATAGAAGTCACTTTCCCATTGTCACCTACCTATAGAAGTCACTTACCCATTGTCACCTACCTATAGAAGTCACTTATCCATTGTCACCTACCTATAGAAGTCACTTATCCATTGTCACCTACCTATAGAAGTCCCTTACCAATCGTTACCTACCTATAGAAGTCACTTATCCATTGTCACCTACCTATTGAAGTCACTTACCCATTGTCACCTACCTATAGAAGTCACTTATCCATTGTCACCTACCTATAGAAGTCACTTATATCCATTGTCACCTACCTATAGAAGTCCCTTACCAATCGTTACCTACCTATAGAAGTCACTTATCCATTGTCACCTACCTATAGAAATCACTTATCTATTGTCACCTACCTATAGAAGTCCCTTACCAATCGTTACCTACCTATGAAATCTTCAGTCAGTCTCTAACCAGAAAAGTCCACTTACCAGTCGCCCCCTGCCCCTGATCCTTGAGTAGAAACAGAACCAGTTCTGTGACACATACAGGTTACCCTGTAGTAGGATATCTCCAAGGAAGGCACATGAGAAATCTGAAAAATACAAAATCATGATATGGTTGTCAGAAAATGCACAAATGAACACAGGATTAGTCTTATACAGTGTCTGTGACACCCAAAGTGTTATATCTGTGACACCCACAGTGTTATGTCTGTGACACCCACAGTGTTGTCTGTGACCCCCACAGTGTTATGTCTGTGACACCCACAGTGATATGTCTGTGACACCCACAGTGTTATGTCTGTGACTCCCACAGTGTTGTCTGTGACACCCATAGTGTTATGTCTGTGACCCCCACAGTGTTATGTCTGTGACTCCCACAGTGTTGTCTGTGACACCCACAGTGTTATGTCTGTAACACCCACAGTGTTATGTCTGTGACTCCCACAGTGTTATGTCTGTAACACCCACAGTGTTATGTCTGTGACATCCACAGTGTTATGTCTGTGATCCCCACAGTGTTATGTCTGTTACCCCCACAGTGCTATGTCTGTAACCCCCACAGTGTTATGTCTGTGACAACCTCAGTGTTATGTCTGTAACACCCAAAGTGTTTGTCTGTGATACCCACAGTGTTATGTCTGTAACCCCCACAGTGTTATGTCTGTGACAACCTCAGTGTTATGTCTGTGATACCCACAGTGTTATGTCTGTAACCCCGACAGTGTTATGTCTGTGACAACCTCAGTGTTATGTCTGTGATACCCACAGTTTCATGTCTGTGACCCCTTCAGCATTATGTCTGTGACAACCTCAGTGTTGTCTCTGACACCCACAGTGTTATGTCTGTAACCATCACAGTGTTATGTCTGTGACAAGCTCAGTGTTATGTCTGTGGTACCCACAGTGTTATGTCTGTGACCCCTTCAGCATTATGTCTGTGACAACCTCATTGTTGTGTCTGTGACAACCTCAGTGTTATGTCGGTGACCCCCCAAAGTGTCATGCCTGTGACCACCAAAGCATTGTCTGTGACAACCTCAGTGATGTGTCTGTGACCCCCCAAAGTGTCATGTCTGTGACCACCAAAGCATTGTCTGTGACAACCTCAGTGATGTGTCTGTGACAACCTCAGTGTTATGTCTGTGACCCTCCAAAGTGTTAAACCTGTATGCCCTGAGTGTTATGTCTGTTGCCACAGTATTCGGTATTGTGCTTGAATACAAATGATATCTTTATAACTTTCAACTTGTGCAATAAATATTGCTTTGAATACTTTACTTAAACCAATATTTGAATTGTATCTCTTTTGTAAAACCCTGGATACAATTTAATTTTTCACAAAAATTTTCAAAAGCAGAAAAAAGAAGAGTTTTTGTGCTTTAGGAGTGGTCTCGCAAGGAGATTTAATGATGATTTATGTCAACGGACTCAAACTATACTGGTGTACACAGAGGAAATGTCTTCGTATAGAGCAGTGTGAATTATTACACTACATGAAAACCTTGAGGTCCCATCAAACAGGGACTAGGCGAACCCTTTGTCAAGTCAGAAAGGATCAATTTCAGTTGATATAATAAAATATTGATTGAGGATTTTAAATCCATATATCATCCGAGACATTTTTGTTGAATACACAATCAATACTACGGCAGGCATTCTATCTTTTCCGTGATATAAAAGGATAATCAAATAAACCATGTTTTAGTTGTAAGTAGTTCAGCTTATAACTGGAAAAGATTAATAAATAGAGATCAATATTATGTGTACAATCTCATCAACTACAGTGTAGATACAATATTAAAACTATTGTGACATTCACACCATAAGGTGAGTGTCAATGAGCTCCATGTGGCGGTAGTTCACCCTACATTCAATACATCTATATAACATAGATAAAACTATTCCATGTTAATTACATTATTTAAATCCTGTGACTTAAGACCACAGTGACAGACTTCTAAGACCACAGTGACTAACTCCTAAGACCACAGTAACTGACTCCTAAGACCACAGTGACTGACTCCTAAGACCACAGTGACTAACTCCTAAGGCCACAGTGACTGATTCCTAAGACCACAATGACTAATTCCTAAGACTACAGTGACAAATTCCTAAGACCACAGTGACTGACTCCTGAGACCACAGTGACTAACTTCTAAGACCACAGTGACTAACTTCTAAGACCACAGTGAAAAAACCCTAAGACCACAGTAACTGCTTCCTAAGAACACAGTCACTGATTCCTAAGACCCCAGTGACTGATTCTTAGGACCACAGTGACTAACTCCTAAGACCACAGTGACAAACTCCTAAGACCACAGTGACTGACTCCTGAGACCACAGTGACTAACTCCTAAGACCACAGTGACTGACTCCTAAGACCACAGTGACTGACTCCTAAGACCACAGTGACTAACTCCTAAGGCCACAGTGACTGATTCCTAAGACCACAATGACTAACTCCTAAGACTACAGTGACAAACTCCTAAGACCACAGTGACTGACTCCTGAGACCACAGTGACTAACTTCTAAGACCACAGTGACTAACTTCTAAGACCACAGTGAAAAAACCCTAAGACCACAGTGACTGACTCCTGAGACCACAGTGACTAACTCCTAAGACCACAGTGACTGACTCCTGAGACCACAGTGACTAACTTCTAAGACCACAGTGACTAACTTCTAAGACCACAGTGAAAAAATCCTAAGACCACAGTAACTGCTTCCTAAGACCCCAGTGACTGATTCCTAAGACCCCAGTGACTGATTCTTAGGACCACAGTGACTAACTCCGAAGACCACAGTGACAAACTCCTAAGACCACAGTGACTGACTCCTGAGACTACAGTGACTAACTTCTAAGACCACAGCGACTGACTCCTAAGACCACAGTGACTGACTCCTAAGACCACAGTGACTGGCTTCTAAGACCACTGTGACTGATTCCTAAGACAATAGTGACTGACTCCTAAGACCACAGTGACTGACTCCTAAGACCACAGTGACTGATTCCTATGACCACAGTGACTGACTCCTAAGACCACAGTGACTAACTCCTAAGACCACAGTGACTGACTCCTAAGACCACAGCGACTGACTTCTAAGACCACAGCAACTGACTTCTAAGACCAGAGTGACTGACTTCTAAGGCCACAGTGACTGACTTCTAAGACCAAAGCGACTGACTTCTAAGACCACAGTGACTAACTCCTAAGGCCACAGTGACTGACTCCTAAGACCACAGTGACTGACTCCTAAGACCACAGTGACTGACTCCTAAGACCACAGTGACTGACTCCTAAGACCACAGTGACTGACTCCTAAGACCACAGTGACTGACTCCTAAGACCAGAGTGACTGACTCCTAAGACCACAGCAACTGACTTCTAAGACCACAGCGACTGACTTCTAAGACCACAGTGACTGACTCCTAAGACCACAGTGACTGACTCCTAAGACCACAGTGACTGACTAATGGAGAGACATTAGGAACATTTCATAGTATTGTACCCTTTTCAAAGGCATATAAAAAAGTAGTAAAACCAGGTGTGCAGGCAACTTGATCACATCAGTATAGAATCAAGTTTATTTGGATGAAAAAAGCATTCTTGACAAAATAACACTGATTGATGGACAAACAGACCAATGAAAGGACAGACAAACAGCCTACCAATAGAGAGATGAGCAGTCTAGTGATGATTGGACAGATAGTTTATTAATTGATGGACAGACAGACCAATGAATGCGCACATATCGTCTACAATGGATCATGGATGGACGGTCTATGAATGGATAGCGAATCAAACAGTCTACCAATGGATGGACAAACAAACAGTATATGACAGACAAATGGGTAGCTAATAGTTACTAACTTATAATTTCCTCCAAAAAAACGATTTTGTTAATACTGGAATCTTTGCTAGAACAGGAACAGAATATGAAATCCAATTAAAGAAAGTCATTTCCTACTGGATGATGTACCATAGTAGAAACCGTTTCTTACTGGCAAGGCAATTGAATTACCTCAAACTAATGCATAGTGTTGAAAAGGCCATTGTACAAACCTTGTCAACAAAGACTTAAGAATTTACAATTCAAACAACATGGTGTTACTATTGATCCAATCTACCTTTGTTGAACCTAATGTGTAAAATCTATCTAGATGTTATATTACCTCAGAAGATTTTAATACACCTTTTAATTGTATTTCTAGACAATTTTATCTTTAATTTTTAAAATAAATCTGACTTCAAAAGGTTTAAAACAAATCTGAGAAGATAATGCAAGAAAGATATGCAGGTCCTGTTAAAGTCACTATGGTATTGGAAAAGGTTTACAGAACAGACCTGGTTGATATGGTGACATCGATTCGGATATTGCAAAAAACATCATAACAATAGTAATAACCATTTCTTTTTTTTTGGCTCTTTGTGGGAAAACCGCCTTCCAGTGAATACAACGCTGCGATGGAATATCACACCAACAGCAGAAACGTTACTGTTTGTCGCTGTGCACCAATACTACTGTAATGCCAGTAATTTAAAAATCTCCAGACATCCAATTCCAAATTGCAACCATCCCCTAAAGGCCAAATAAAAGATGGTGGCTTCATCTGATTGCTGGTCCAACGTAGTTGTTAACACTAGGATAATTTCAATTTTTTAACAATATGAGACTACCAAAGACACTTTACTTCACTGAAGAATGCCTCTGATGTGTGGAGATGACAATCAATGTTCTAGATATATACTGGATTGGTAAACCATATATCACACTTCTATAAAATTTCAACACAAAAATATAAAATCGGTATCTCTGATATTATACACAGATTACAACATAAGTACAGAGGGACAGGCTGGAGTCAGCTTTCATCTAATAGAAAATCAATTCTTCTGAACACCCACCAGTATTATCATTATGGTTGCTATTGCTTCTACAAGAGAAACGTACTTAATGAGGGCAAACCTTTCTGACAAATATAGATACATTGTGTATAAACATAGTGATCAGATGTCAAAATCAAGGATGACTATCTATGGCCAAGAATATATTATTTAAATTCGTTTGTTGTGTTTATCGTAATATGAACAACCAAGGTTACTTTCAGGTGGGTTTCCCTGTGGTAGCACGTGAATACCTCACTGAACAAAATGCATTAGCTCTGTTGCATGCCATCCAGAGCAATTAGGGCAAAGTAACTTTTGCTGAAGGACACAAGCACATCATCACAGACCGGTCTCAGTTTCCTGAGAAACACACTTGCCACAATAGAGAGCACTAAACCACACATACCTGAGGTTATGTAGACAAATGCTCTAATGGAAAGACCCATCTCAGCCCCCTATGGCCAATCTTTTACCTTTTATAGATTCAAAATTGTGCAGGTAACAATTGCTTTAAAAGAATCAAAGAAATTTGAGAAATATGTATCTAGACATAGTAACATCAAATTTGAATTGCCGGTCTTCTGTTTTTCTGATCCATCTTAAAATTTACCAGGTAAATCTAAAGATAAAGGGAAACCTAAAAAAAACCCTAAAGTAGGTCACACCTGCAATCTCTAGGAACTTAATTATCATACAGCTACCCTGATCTGAATTAAATAGCATAGAGTCATTTCAAATGATACAAACACCACACACAAGTTTGGCTAATTAAGTCAATTATGTAACAGTAATATGATAAGGAAATAAAAACACAAAGAGATCAACACAAAGGAGCAACTGTACTTACAGTCAATGGGGTCCTCTGTCTCAGTGACAGACTTAAAGAGTTTGTGAAACTTTTCTGCCCTGGATCTGCTTATTGTTGGAAAGGACTCCTTTAATAAAGGAAAACAGATTTTATAAAACCATATTTTTAAATCGGTAACCTGCAAGACTACCACAGAAAACATTTTTTTACATACGGATAAGGACAGAAAAAAAAAACAGTCTAAAGCTATGCAGAGGATTGGACATTCTCACTTTTCTGTTCAGGAATGATAATTTTACCATCACCCCTATTTTCTGTTCTCTTTTTTGTGTGTGTGGTTATAAACACCAACACATATGTATAGTGTATAAATACAATGTAATGTTTTACACAGGTCATCATGACCAGACAGTTACAGAATAATAGTTCTAAAAAATAATGCATATATATATATACATATTCAAACCATATTTAGATAAAATTTGTAAAGTTAAAAAGTTTTATTTTATTCAGAAAGCTGGTCAGCATAGAACATATAATTTAATTTCTACACCTTGAGGAAATTCCATACAAGCAAATGGTATATATTCAAGCTTTGGTTTCTTTCATTGTTTGTGTTTGACGCTAGTCCAAACATCTTGACTTTAGAACATTAATTTTAACACACGAACATATCAAAGGTATTCTCTTAGACACTGTAAAGGTTGTTCTTTATTTCATGGTTCAAAATTTTGCAGTTTTACTTAAAAACTAAAATAAACTCATATCCTTTCTGATAAGTTATCAAACAGATTATGGTACTCTCAAATCTGTATTTCAAAGTTTTCAATCATTCTCAGAAATAGTTAGCAATACTGAACATTTATAATAACTGAAAGTCTTGTCTACAATCTGTATCATCACCCTCACAACAATAGAGAATATATCAAAGGTAGCAAATATGAATATAAAAAAGTTACTTCTTGTTCACCAGACCAAAACAATACGCTACTTACTCTGTTTGAGTCCTTTCTGCTCATCACTGATGACTGTGATCTGTAAAATACAAAGAAGAACTTTAGAACAATTACATTAGATGTGTTATTTAGCTATAGATTTAACAGATAAATGTATAGCATTGTAAACTAACCATTTAGCAGCAAGTATACAAAATAGAAGTTTTGCGAACCTTGGTAAAATGATAACTAAGCCATTTTTTATATTAAAAATATCAACAAAGGGAAGCAACTATGTCTATATTTAGATGCAAGATGCATTTTTAATATGAAATTTTCTGTCAAAGAATTTCTCTGTATTTGAGTTTAAAGTATCATACTGTTCAAAATTTTCTTCCTTACAACATGCAACTAAAGGTCATATATAAAGACTGCATTCACAGATCATCAGATCACCCAAGTACACATTTAAAGTGTCATCACACTGACATGCTATAACCTGACACAGATACATGATACTCCATCCTGTAACTCCAGTGATGTTGGGCTGTTCAGTCATTACTGCTCATGAAATTCTGGACATCAAGAAGCTTATTCTTTAATGTTGCTTTATGTCCTATGTGGGCCACAAAGTCACAACCCAAAGGAAGAGGGCTAGTGATTAAGATGGTCAGAACCCTGAAAGGCTTTTTGGTCTTTCTTTTTCACAATGCCGTATAGCAGTCTAAAATGGTGCAGTACATTAGTATGTTGTCTGCAGTAAGTTGTCTATTTCATAGCACAGATGACACAAAAGCTGGCTCTGTCCCCTTCAGTTTAGTCTGATGAATATGCATATTTTGAACGCAAAATGAGGTTATGTGAAGGGTGACATCAAAATATTACTTCCGCAACACTCTATTTTCCTAAGACACTACAGGTCATGCCTATATTCATTTACTAATGTTCAAATAGAAACTTACTTTCGTATATAAAGTGTTGTTTATATAATGCTGTATGACAAACAAAAAATAAAGTCCATTTCTTTCTTTCTTTTTGAATCTATTTTGAAAGGGGTGCAACAATGGGACAGGGCTATATGCAGTTATGTGAATGAACTTGTTGGTAATGATTCATAGTCTTTAGTTAAAATAACTACCTATTTTCCAGGTTATAAGCCTCACCGGTATATAAACAGCAGGGCCGATTTTCAGCAATTCTTTTATAAACATATTTGCTGTGGTTCTAGATGAGCTGTTTCAGTCACAAACACATGACAGAGAGGATCTCTTCAAAAAACTTGGTACTGAGGTCTCATACTGGTATCCTTGGTTTCTGGAAGTGTGACATGTTACAGTAACCAAAATTATCAGGGTGTGAAGCTACCCAGGTCCATATTGCACGTGGTACACCTTATACGTAACCGTCTGGGACCAATGTCCAGACGATACTCTTCTCTTTTATTTCATTTCATTCTGCCGAATTTTTTTCGTCCATGTATATGCCACATCGGTATTTAAGCTACATGTCTAACCATAGAGGAAAAAACCAAGTGCTTATAATCCGGAAAATACAGTATAGGCCATACCGGTATATAAGCTGCATGTCTGACTCATGAGGAAAAAAAAGGTGCTCCCCCCCTCCCTGCACCCCACATGACCTGGAAAATACAGCACAATTGCCTGCCACATTGAAATTTCACCATCCACATTTTCACTATAGTATATGAATAGGCATCATTCCCTAGTGTTGCTACCGTATCATCAGTATGGATATCCTTAGGTGCTAGACCTTATGCAAATATTGAATCTCTGTACTTTCAGTGATTTTGTCCATTTTGCTAAAGTCACTTGCCTTGTTTATTATTGAGTGCTACCAATGTAAACTGATCAAATGACACCAGTCTTTGGGTACACAGCTTTAAATAGTATAGCTAAAAAACAGACATCCCTGCTTTAAATTCTTCAATACAACTTATCAATCAGCCCTCATGCCACAGGGACAGCAGAACCATCTGTGTGCCCTGCCACTGAGCTGGGACAGATGAAAGTAAGGGATATTCCAAAAATAAAGTGGTTCATGAATAACTAGATAAAGGGACAGAAAGCCTGATGGACAGAGCGTCGCAAACGTTTTTTCTGTATCTTGTATATAATGTCAACAATTTAGGCCCATGGTATCACTGAGTCATTCATTATTTGTCTCTATCTACTTCCAATTGGTTTTAAAAAGTGCCATTCATTTATGTGTTTTGTAAAATCTTCGAAAGTAGCAGAAAATTATCTAACATTGCAGCAGTATCTCATGTCTAGAATTATCGGACAGATCCACTAAGGGTACAGATAGGAGATTTACTTAACAAGTTTAAAATGAATAAGTATTGCAATCTTCAACAAAAAATTAAATTTAAAAAAACTCTTTTTAAAATATTAACCCAAATATTCATATTGAATACAGATTGATCATCAACATGTTACACATTCCTTACACTTTCCTGTGATCCCCTAGACCCCAATGGAATAAACCCTTCTATCCCAATTTCAGTGTTGAAACATTAGAGGACCTTGGACTATTGGCAAGAATTTGGTTATAACCAGCAAATTCAGCGATCAATATCGCTCAACATGGACAGACTCCATTTCAGTCCTAATTAACACTGAAAGCCTTTTACTGCTGAATAGTACTTTGAAATGTTTCTAAGGAAGTATGTAATCGAGGAAACAAACTGTTTTACTGTTTCTCAAAGACAGACAGACAACTGAGTGTATACAACCTTAAAATCAATATTCTTGTGAAGGATTTACTGATGTTGCGGGTACTATTAATTGACCAATTCATATGTTAACAAAATGAACAAGAGGGATCTTGGCCTCCACCATTGTTTGATCCTTATTTGCTCTTTGAAAGTTGGATCTTTTCCATTCTTTTCTCTTCTCTTCTCTGTTTTTGCTCTTAATGATAAGACATTTGAACATAGCTTTGCAAAAATAGCAATGATAATCTTTACCTGCCAAATCCAAAATGAATGCCTGAAAGCCACTTTGTTTTTTCTGATCACTCCCAAAATCAAACAGGCACAAGAAGAGACCAAAGGGAACATATGTATGAAATTTGAGTGATCAATTCAGTAGGTCTCGAAAAATAGCAAAAACAAAATTTCAAATCAAAATCCAAGATGGCCATCTGTCAGCCATTTTGTTTTTTTTATCAGATCCAAAATCAAATGGGCACAAGGGACCAACGGAAACCTAAATATGAAATTTGACAGAGATTCATCAAGTACATTGCAAGAAATAATGATAACAACCTTCATTGAAAAAATTAAAGATGGCCACCTGTCAACCATCTTGTTTTTCTGATCAGTCCCAAAATCAAACATGCACAACTAGGGATCAAAGGGAACCTGCATATGAAATTTGAAAGATCCATCAAGTACATCTCAAGAAATAACGATAATAAAAATTGTTTACAGATGGACGGATGGACCACAGACCATGGACGTAGGACAATTTGCATAGCCCATCATCTGATGATCATGGTGGGCTAAAAATGGTTAAAATTTTATATGAATTTTCATGTAATTGTTCATTACATTAGTGCTATTATTAGTATCTATAATTATCATTTGCTATGGAAAACAAGCACTGATCATGTTTAAACAGATGTTTGGAAAAGCAATCAAATTTGAAATTAATAAAAATATCTGATTTAACAGAATTATTGTGTACGAGTAAATAAACTATTTTTATTAATTTGTCTGACACCAACATGCAGCACCATTATAAAAAAAAGCATTAAAAAAGATTGTGAAGGTTACTTACTGCATAATACCACATGTATATTAGTTAGATCCATCAGAATCATCACATAAAATCCAAAACAGAAAGATTAAATCCGATGAATACTTCAACGAAATGTTTATTTCAAAATATTTTCATGTATGATCATTCTTCTGAAGCTTTCAACCATGATGTGTAAAATTGTGCAATAGCATGCACCATATTTCCCAATAAAAATCTGGTACACACAATGACGCTTGCCTGTCCATTGGTTGTAATGTCATTATGACCCCAATCATACCTATCATTCGATTAATTGGCCAATTGAATTACAGACATTTTATGTCCTATATATTCCCCCACACAAGCACTAAATATAGTTTCCCATACAATCATTCAATATTGCAATGTGGACATAAACCTCTGCTCTAAAATGTTTTTAAATGTAAACAAAAAAAATCTATTTAGATTTTAAGCTTGAATGAGATTCTAATCAAACCTAAAATACAGTATGTAACTGAAGGACCAAGAAGCTCAGGCCACAGTGTATTCCTAATCAAACAATGGTTTCTATAATGTACATACTGGGCAAGAATGAGTTCAAACAAAAGACATCACACACAAGGTACTAATGAAATGTATGGTTAGATTGAATTGGGTAATATTTGGCAGGTTCTATATATACATGGCCGTAAGGAACATTTGTACCACTCAGCAAGCTGAATATAAAGCACTCTACCTTAAAGCATTTAGGCATTAACTAGAACAAGCAGAACACAGGTTAAATCACAAAGCCAGCACAGTTCAATTTAAAGGGATTGAAACAGCACTTTACATTTTTATTCAAACTGAAGAAAAACAAAAATAATTTAAAGTAAAGTACTTTTCATTTACATCTGAAATGTTTTCTTTCTGAATACTTGTATAAGAATGATTGAAGCCATTAAAACCAAACGAGATCCAAGAGATCTTTCGACACCTATGTTGAATCTTGATCCTTGTCTTTATGGTGTAAAGGATATAATCATACCTCCAGGACATCAAATATTTATTATTTAAACTGGAGCAAAAGCTATACAATTAAATTTGGTTACACAATATTTGCCCAAATATTATGTTCGTACAGGTATTTCACATGAAGTAAATTTGGCATTCAACAAAGACATTTTGACCTCAAACACCAACAGCCTACTTGTTATTAATATAGAAATATGTTAAGAAAAAGCCTTAGCTTTAAAAAAGTCAAAAATCAAAATGGCAAAAGGATTTCAGTGTTTTACGCTCTGAAAATAGCCACAGTGGCAGTAGCAGCCATCTTGATTATCATATCAAGCTGAGAAGG